GGACTAGGTGCGTTCTACTTAGTCGCCCTGACAACAAGACCAAGTTGCGACAACGAGGTCAACCCACTTCGACTTTAAAGATTTAATCAAAGAGATGAAGATGAAGATGGTGTGGCCCTAGGTATGATCGCGGTGTCATTTCGATGTATAAAAGTGGGGTGAATTCGTTTGCGCAACTTGGTCTTGTCAGGAAAACTTAATTAATCACACCTTGTCCAAAGTGCTCTGCCATAGTATTAAGCATAATTCCTAGATTCAGATCGTGGAATTGGTACTTAACAGACGTTTCACTGACATCGTAGTCGGCATCATCAGTGAGTCTTGCCATTCTCAACATCAAGCTACAACTCGTCAGAGACAAGTGAAATCAATCTCTTGACCAAATATCTGCCGAAACGATTGTCCTATCACTCCTCTCTTTGTCCTAGTCCATCTAACTATTCCTTACCGTCTTATCACACTCCCGCCCTATCACAGCACACCTTTTGACGAATGGAATGTAACAAGTCAGAAGTTCTGATAGGGCGGGAGTGGGATAAGAGGGTAAGGAGTAGATAAATGGGCCGCAACAGAAGGAAGAATGATAGCGAAACTGTCTCGGCAGAAAGTTTGGTCAAGGGTCTGACTTCACTGATCTCTTTGTCTAGTTGTAGTTTGGTGCTGAGAATGGCAAGACTCACTGATGATATCGACTACGATGCCGGCCAAACTACTGAAAATGTACCAAATCCACGCTCTGACACTGGGAATTATGATAACTACTATGGCCGAGGACTTCAGACAAGATGCATCCAAAGAAGTAACCCTGAAAACAAGACCAAGTTGGGAAAACGAGATCAGCCTACTTTTGAAGATTTATTTATTAGTAATTAGCTGCCCAAAGCTGGCAATGGTCAGAGTTGAAAATGTACATCATGTGCTGAGCTGCGGAGCAATAATACTTTAGCTGATTAAAGGGACACGACGGAAAGATATAATTCTCCCAAAAAAATTGCTTGTACCCAGTAAAAAAATGTTTACAAAAGTTTTGTGGGTGATATAGAACGTATAAAAAGCTCTGGGGTCATCAATTATTCAAAATCTGGAAGGGTAGGGGACAGAATGGAACGTGCTACCCACAGAAAATAGAGTTGAAAATAAATCCATTACCAAATTCAGGTTTTACTACTTCCAATTTTGTCTTGAAAGGCGGATGGAAGAGATTAATAAATTAGCCTCACAGGAAACTAAAATATGATTGCCTTGATAATGTGAATGCGAAATTATGCAACGAATTTCGTGGTGCACTATCCGACCCCGATTAATTCGAGCTATGCCTTAATCTGTCCTGGAATATATCTCCACAGCATGAATTCATGTCTTATGAAAAAACAACGAGCACTAAGGGGAAACAGGTTGAAATTCTACCTATAAATATTGATTTGACCTCGTTTCTGCAACTTAGTAGAAGTCTGGCACAGTAGTCATAATAAGCTCCATCATCGGAAATTTGACTTGATACATTCCCAGATCTATTTCCGGTATTATCAATGATGAGAGCCAGCCATAGCAACGAGTTACATCTAGCCAAAAGTTATTACTTAGTCAAATCCCTGTTTAACTTCATTTATATATCGTTCTCATTCTGTCATAGCTCTTAGCGCTGTATCCTCATCCCCCAATTTTAATTCATATGGCCAATTTACCTATCAACACATTCCGTTTTCTTCTTTTGTCACAATGTTTCTCAAGAGTTTGGCACCTCAAATATATTTAGTGAGGCATAATCACCCTCCCCGTAGGCTTCGAATGTCATCTACAGAGCTGCTGGGTCCCAATAAGTATAGCACGACGACAGAAGGAATGATAACACAATTGCTTAGATCAGCTTCATTCAATCCATTTAAAGATACAAACCTAACTAACCTTGCCGTCAGAAGCTGAATCACAAACGGTCCGATCCGATGATTCCTCCTCTCTGAAAGTATAGAAAGAGATTACTAGAATTGGAGATCAAACCAAGACAAATTTATTCATATAAAATAAGTCAGAAATTAGGAAAAATGCCTTAAAGCTGTCGTGAATTTTGCTGGGCGCAAGGTAATTATCGGTACACAATCCTAGAATTATTATAGTGTTGGTTCGACCTCGTTTTCGCAACTTGGAGCGTCAAAGAGAGCTTGTGGAACGTACCTAGTTCTGTATCCTCTGCCATAGTATTTGTAATGTCCAACATCGGACCATTGATAGAAATTGTTTGACCTTGTTTTCGCAACTTGGTCATATTTGTAGAAAGACTTATAGGAAAGCACCTTGTCCTGAGTCCATTGGATGCATAATTATTTTCAAATCGGACAGTGGACGTGGTACATTCCCAGACGTTTCGCCGGCATCGTCAGTGAGTTTTACCATTCGTAGCACCATATAACAAACTCGTCAAATATATAGGTGAAGCCGATCCTTTGACCAAACCTGTACTAAACGGTTATGGTATCTCCTATTCTGCCCCGCCTATTCACATTTCCTATATCCTCCAATCACGCCTTCACTGTCACAATATTTTACTTGCTTAATTAAAT